GGCCGCAGGCGTGGGCCGCGGCTCGTGGTGCTGGCTGCTGCAGCCGCGGGCACGCGGGGGTGTGGTTTGGGGACGGGAGGGGGCACGAGGGGTCGCGTACGTTGGGGCGGCGGGCGAATCGAGGAGTCGCGCACGCGGCGGCGGTGCCCCTTTTTTGCGGGCTCGCCTCGGGGGCTGGTTGGGGCGGGCTGGGGCCCCGCCGTGATGGGAACGGTAGCCTCGCTGTCCTGCATCGAACATTCTGATAGGGGATGGGGGATGAAGGGGGCCAGCTGGCCCCAACAACGGGCCCTCTCTGCCGTCAGCCAGCGGTGGGGCTCCTGGCAGCCCCGTTGCTACAAGGCGGCCCCTACCCCCTTATCCACCGCCCTGCTGGCCTGCCCCCTCTTCGACCCTTGGTGCCGCGGCGTGCCCAGCCTCGCTCCCCGGACCTGCTGGCCTGCTCCCCTCTGTCCCCGGTTGTGGTGGCCTGCCTAACATGCACCCCCCTGCGCTCTGTGTGCTGCGCAGATCCTGGTCACCACCTCGCGCGACCCCAGCAGCCGCCTCACCCAGTTTGCAAAGGAGATGCGCCTCGTCATCCCTAACGCGCAGCGCGTCAACAGGTGCGCCCTGTGGGGCACTGCAATCGCGGGGCGTGGCGAGTGCGACGTGGGAAGCTGCGTTTCCGGAGCCGCGGCTGGCACACCCGTGCGGCCCAGGATGGTTGGCCGACCAATGAGCTGCCAGCACAATATGCAGCAAAGTTTTGCAGGTGCACTGAGGCAGCTGCGGCACTGTCACACCACCCATCCCCATGGTCCCACCTCAACCCACGCGTGTTGGTTGGGGAGCTTGTCTGTGCCCTGCGGTGTTGTGTTGATCAACCACCTTCCAACCGCCGCAAACCGCCGCCCGGCCCTGACCCCTCAGGGGTGGCATGATCCTGTCTGAGATCATCGACACGTGCCGCAACCACGACTTCACGGATGTGGTGGTGCTGCACGAACACAGGGGGGAGCCAGGTGGGCTGCGTGATTGTTAGTCTGTGTGTGTGTGAGCATGTCTTTGTGTCTCTATATGTGTGTGCGTGTGTGCGTGTGTGTGTGTGTGTGTGTGTGTGTGTGTGTGTGTGTGCGCGAGAGAGAGAGGTATACAGAGAAAGTTTGTGTGTGTGGGCGTGTGTGTCCGCGTGCGCGCGTTGCGGTTGCCACAAGCACACAAGAAAGCCCAGGTTGGCAGCACTGTGGAAAATGCATCATTATGGACAGTTGCACGCACATCACGCATGGTCAACCTCACACAACCGAATGTGCACGAGCCAATTCGCCCTACTGTGACACTCCACCCCCCGTCTTCAGCGCGTTTTTGACGCCGTTTGACCTTCTCCCCATGCCTCCCCCTGCCGCACAGACGGCATGGTGGTCTGCCACCTGCCATACGGCCCAACCGCCTACTTTGGGATTTTCAACACTGTGCTGCGCCACGACATTGGGCAGAAGAAGGAGGTCGGGACCATCAGGTGGGCCTGGGCAGCTTCTCGTCAGCTCAGTTGCAGTTATGTGATGCCCTGGAGTTTGCCGTCGCATGGGTGCGGGGGATCTCACACATACACGCAGAAAACGCAGCCCCGTTCAATCTCAGGCCCCTGCGCTGCGCTCCCCCCCCCCCTGCGGCCGCCAGCGCAGCTCAATCCCGCGAACCCCACCACAGCCGCCTGCCCCGACCACGTGCATACGCCCCGCCCGCCACCCCACCCTCTGCAGCGAGGCCTACCCCCACCTCATTTTCGACGGCTTCGGCAGCGCCCTGGGCAAGCGGCTGGGCAACATCCTGAAGCACCTCTTCCCCGTGCCCAAGGACGACGCCAAGCGCGTGGTGACGTTCGCGAACCGCGACGACTACGTGTCGTTCCGCCACCACACCTACACGCAGCCGGCGGGGCCCAAGAGCATAGAGTTGAAGGAGGTGCGTTCGCGGAGGGCGCCGCGTGGTCGGGCGCCTCTGTTGTTACGGAGGGCGCCGCGCGGCTGGGCGCCTCTGTTCTTACAGAGGGCGTCGCGCGGCTGGGCGCCTCTGTTATTGCGGAGAGGGCGCGGGGGTCCAAACGCCTGTGCTGAGGCTGCGCGCTCGGCGGGGTCTGGGTTTCAGAGGGTGCGGGCAGGCCCCGAGACGCGCGGACCGCCGCGCAGTCTGATTCGCCGCGCCTGCCACCGCCAGCCGCACGCGCCGCGGATGTCGTTCGCCCATGCGCATGATTTCGCCCACAGATGTGCGCACTGTTTCGCAACCAGTGTGAAAGACCCTCGCCTCCCTCCTCTCGCCCCCGCAGTGCGGCCCGCGCTTTGAGCTGCGGCCTTACCAAATCCGGCTGGGCACCATGGAGCAGCAGCACGCGGAGAGCGAGTGGGTGCTGCGCGCGTACACGCGGTCAACCAAAAAGTCAAAGCTCGCGGAAGACGGCGCCAAGCCCGCCGCCAAGTGAGGCGCTGGGGACTTCAGAGCAGTGGAGCTGGGGCAGCGGCGGCGGGTCTGTCCTTGGAAGGGCCCTCTTCACCCGCCCAGGTTTTTGTCCCGTGCTTGTCGCGCAGGTTTCTGTAGCTTAATATGTCGTCTTTTCTGTTCGCTCTGCTTCCTGTGCTTGCATGAGTCGCGTTTGACTTTCGCGCCTGAGAATGGCGGTTTTCAACAGTGCTGTAAATGCATGCTGGGCCAGGCGCCTTCACAACTGCTGATGCATCGCTTTTAGCTGTTGGACGACCAGTGCCGCCGAGCTTCAACAAAACGCACAAGCAAGGGGGACGTGATTGGCGTGCGCACAACGCACACCGCCGTCGCCACTGCAGCAGCCGTCGCCACTGCACCTGCACACTCTCGGGCGGCCGCTCCCACTCGCCCCGCGGCAACGCTGCCGCCACGCGGGCCACGAGCGCTCGCGCGTCCTCATGCTCGTATTCGTCTCACCGCCGATGCCGCAACCTTTGCTTGAGCCCCTTTATCATTACCTTCTTTCTGAACGCGCGGCCAACGCGGGCAACGCCGCGGGCGCTGCGCCCCGCGGAGGGCCACGCAGGCAGTGGCGCGCGCTATCTGCACTCCCCCACTCGAAAACTCAAAAGGCGGACGCGATCTGGGGGATGCGCGGCACAAGGGCGCGGCCAGGCGGCGGCGGCGGCGGTTGTGACATCCGCGAGGGCCGCCTCGTCAGCACCGCGGGACAATCCGTTGAGGGGATATGCCGTGGCGGTCGGCGAGGAGGAGTGGGCGGCGGCGGCTGCCCTGTCAACGGCGGTCAGCTTTGGCAGATTTGCAGTCAGCGGACGAGGCAGCGTCGTGGCCGATGTCAAGGTGAGAGCCGGACTTCATTGCGACACAGCTGCACGCTGCATGCGGCGTGCTAGATGTGCCTTACCTTCCAATACAGTAGATCATGCTGGCAAGAAACAGGCTTGCGTTCGCTGACAGCCAGCGCCGCTGAGGAAGGGAGGAGGTCAGTGTGAGGGGTGGTCACTCTCTCGCCGTTGCTCGGTCAGCATCGTGCGTGCAGGACGTGATGCATGCTGTGCACTTCATACAGCATTACAATTGCATGACATCCGCTTTGCAGCAGGTCGCAGCTTCATCACAACGACCTGCAAACGAGCCCGCGAAAAAAGCATAGACTCTCTCAGGCCCTGCCCTCAGCCTTGCACTTTCTCAACCACACGACGTCACTTGAACGCACGGTTTATTTCGGCTGTGGCAGTCTGCAATTGCTGCTCTCCCCCAACGCCGCGTTGATGTTTGCCCTCAGTCAGCAAGCCCGCGCCCTTGGGCCCAGTAATGGGCCCTTCCTGGTTCCCAACAGTGATGTGCGCGTCCCACGGCGGCCCAGGAGCACGGTGATGCAAGTGCTGCCCGCGGTGGCGGTCTTGGGAATCGGGGCAGGCTTTCTGCTGCTGGAGGAGCTTAAAAACCAGGTATGTGTGCTTGACTTGAATGGCCCCTGATAACAGCCGGGGATCCTGGCCCGTGCTCAAGCGTTGTTCGAGCCCGAGTCGGCTCAGCGCCCGGGCATGGACAGCCCCGAGGCTGCCACGGGGGTTGCGTCTGTTGCATGAGCTTGCACATGCTTGGCGCTGGCCTGGCAGGCCCGCGCAGCACGGCGGCGCCCCACGGTTGTGCGCGGCGCGGCGCATACCCATACAGTATGCGCAAGCATGTCCGGCAGCGTCGTGCACGCTGTTCTTGCAGTCCTAGATTGCTAATGAGGTTCTACCGCCGCTCTGCACCGCTGCTCGCCACTCTCAGGAGCGTCTGGCTCAGGAAGCGTCCAATGAGCGGCCCTGCCCGTCGTGCAACGGCCGTGGCTTTGAGCCGTGCGTGTGCATGCGCTGGAGCGATGGCGATTCCGGCTGCAACAGCTGCAGCAGGACGGGCTATATGCGTTGCCGCAGCTGCGGCGGTGGTGGGAAGGCCGTTCCCATCAAAGCCACGATCCGCTCTTCCAAGTGATGCAGCATTCCTATTGTAGCCCCCCTCTTCTACTTGCATGGGGGCGCCCCAACTTTCTGAACCATTCAACGGGTCTGCCTCCACCTTGGCTGTGCGCGCTGACGGGCCTAGCAAGCCTAACCTGCGCTGCGATGCACCTCGCGCCATCGAGTGGACGGCCTTTTTGTGTTTTCAGCATTGCCTCTTGCGTCGTCATTTTAGCAACCCCCGGGCCACCCGCCTGCCCTCCCGAGCGCGCCCCTCAGGCGCGCGCGAAGCGCTGGGGTTGGTCGGCCTTGCCGGCTCTCCTTTTCAATCTACAACGGCAAGAGCACGGTGGTCGCAGACTCAATTCTTTCCCAGTGCCGGTGCTTTCCATGCGAATGGGCGCTGGGCAGCGTGTGTTCTGGGCCCCATGCTTGGAGCGCTGTCGTGGTGGTCTCGACTTGCCTCAGGGGTTTGGCTCCTGATACAGCCGCGGCAAAGCGGCGATCCCTGTACCAACATGCAGTACCTTTGTTTCTTTCGTCAATGTTTGCGAACGCGGCAGGCAGGGTGGGGCAAGATGCCTGCCTTGCCCCACCTTGCCTGCGCCATTTCCTGAGGTTCGAGCGGCCCGTTTGTCTCAAGGCCGTGCCACCCCAGTGGGCGGCGAACGTGTGGGCACCGCGCTGCACCTGCCAGGCGGGCTGGCGTGGCGCTGTATCACAAAGCGTAGAATTCTTGCCCAAACAACATTCTGGGCGCACGCAACCTTCCGTGGCGACGTCACTCGCCCTGTTGCGAGATGTCGCGGCCCAGCCCCGGTGGCTGGCTGTCGCGCGGCAGCTGGCCCTCGTGTGGGCCGCATTTGGAGCTTCTGGGAGAAGATTGTGGGTGGGGCCTGTTGTATTCCAGGCAGCAAGAAAAAGATGGGGCCGAGGCGCCCTGTCAGGGCGAGGAAGCGTAACGTTATACAGGCCGGCAGCGGCACGCGCCTATTCTTCACACGCGTGGCCCGCACCTGTGGTCGGAGAGAGGCCCTTTGGCACCCCCAAAGGGCCGGCCCCATGCATGCCCAGCATTCTATCCGGCGCGCTGCGCGGCCTATTGCCCGCTCCTGTACTCTTTGTGATGACAATTCAGACGCCGACGGTGACGACGGCATGACAACACCACCGCTGACTCTGCACCGCCGCAGCTGCTTTCTAATGCGTTCTTCCTGGTCGCCGCCCGATTGCATAACGGCGTACGCGTTTCCTCTGAGCTGCGCGTTGCGCTCTTTGCTTTCGACGCTCGCAATTCGCCTTGCGCAGCGATGCGCGGCTGACAAAGGTGTTAGTGGGGTGGAGAACAGGATTGTGAGCCATTTGCAGTGTAGACACGTCATGCCACATCACCACGTGTAACACAACTGCTTGTTGTGCAGTAGCCCACAAGCGGCAGCGTGTGTTGTTGGCGAGGCGACACATGGATGCTGCGATACACCACCCTGGGGGCCATGGACCTGGAACTTGCATTCAGCCGTGCGCACCATGGACCGAGCCGTGCAACAACTGTGGTACATCCCTGGGTGGCTGTGGTATGCAGTTTAAGCCTTGGGCAGGGTTAAGTGTCAGGGCTCGACCACCAGGTCAGTGCAGCGTGTCGTCGCGCAAACTGTGGTGCAGTGCGACGGCTGCGTGGCTGGGGGTGCGGGGCCGGAGGGACGAAACGGAACGTGCCCTGTCTCTAGCTGCAACAAGCTGTGGGCATGGCCTAGTCAAGCAAGACTTGCGTCGGCAATTTCCGCGCGCACGCGCGCGCACGCACACACACG